GTAGTTATGCACAATTTTTAAAACAACGTGATACGGATAAAACTAAAAAGATTGTAAGTTAAAGAATAAAAATATCTAAATGATGGATTATACTTAATCAAAATTGTCATTACATATATTCATATCTATATATATGATCATTCTATTATCAATCTAATTAGAATTTCTTCTGTTTAGCTATCACAAGAAGATCATCGTTTATTATTATCATCGAGTGAATGGGTTGAAGATATTAAAGATAGTGATCCATATGTATCCGTTATTAGTCGACTAGGTAAATGACAACAACAACAACAAAAAAAAAAAACGTTTTTTTTCTTATCTTCAAAATGTTTTTTTTTTGTTTTTCTTATTTATAAATAGGTGAAGCCATCCAAGATTCTGAAACATATATGGAATTTGTTAAAAAATCTTTTGCTATCGTTACAAATACAAGTAATGTATAGAAAATAAAACAATCACTCATATATTAATAAGAAACCTGCATTTGAATATTCGATTTTCTATTATTTACATATAAATAGAATTTATTATGAATTGAAAATTACAGAAAATAAGAATAATGATGTATGAATATGACGTGAAATTTTGAAATAAAACAAATAGATTATATTTCTAATGAAAATTAAGTATTTGATTTCCTTTGTTTGTATTAGATTCCCTGAATAATATACATAACAAATATTTCATTGCTATATTTGACTGTGGCAATAAGATGAATTTTATCTTATAGAGCTTCGATGTAAATCTAAGAGCTCAGACGCATTTAATTTATACTTAGAAAATAAGAAATAATTTGCATGGAAATCATAAGAAAACTTCGAAAAAAAAGTGTTTTTCGCTCGTATGATAATATTTCTTTCGTTGTTAATCAATTTTCATTTATTTTCATCTTATCTTTTATTGAAACAAATTTTAATGACACAGTAAAAGGGAACTACTAAAAAATCATGAATAAAGTTCAAAAAAAAACTTATATCTACGTTACTCATCGTCACTCAATTGATGACTAAGAATCCCTTGTAAAACTATATGATATTTATTTTTGTCGGAAAAATGTTTGATAAAAATATTTGCATGTAAAGATATTTAATATTACCAACTGTCTTTATAATGAAAGAATTCTTACTACGATAAAGGTCAAAAAGTAGTTAGTTCAGACATTCATTTCCTTTTTTTTGTTTATAAAATTAACCTTATAATCTTAGATGTATTATAAAATATATTATTGACTGTAAAATACAATTGTGAATATGTCAAATAAAATTTCGTTCCCAAAAAAATCTTTGGCTATAGTCATTTTAAATTAATGAAAATTTACTGATATATTCTCTTGAATAAATCTATTACATAAAACAATTGAGACGTTATTGATATACAGCCTTTAATGGTATATCAACAATGTCTGTTACAGTCAGCGAGATGAAGGTAGTGTTACTAAGGAGTCATTCATATGGGTAATCAGCGGTTTCTAACATAGATCGAATTGAATTATTCGACAATTCGACTCAACAATAATCTTTTCATTAACTCTCAAACGTGAACAAAAAAATTCACTTCAATATAGGATTCATGTTCTCTGTGTCTTACACTTTTTCAAACTATATCGATCTCTTTACGTAAAAGGTCTACTAGTGCAACCATTACTTGTATTTTCATTAAGCTTCCCCTTAAAAAAAGGCACTTTTCGTCAGAATGATCGAAATTAAGATAAATCGGAGGAAAGATGCCCCGTGGTCTGATCTTCCATGAGTGAAAAAAAAATTTTACTGGGAACCTTGTCTTTTTTTTCAAAGATTTTTGAAGTTTTCCCTTACTCCTTACTTGAAAAATATGCTATTTTCAGAAAACACAGAAAATCTTTGTCAGTTTTTCTCTTTTTTATGTTTTTTTTGATCACACATCCTAGAATTTTCGAAGGAGGTTTATTTTAGTTAATTTCTTTTTGTTTGTTTGTTTGAAAGAGCATGTCAATATGCAGGGCATGACAGAGTCTTTTTTTTGAATTAAGCTTTTGTTACTATTATAATTAGAGCGTCATTTTTTAAGATATTGAATTTTTCATTCTTTTACTCCTCTTAAAAAGTAAGAATTTAGAAAAAAGAACTCTGTCATGCCCTGAATTTTGACATAATCTTTTAAACAAAAGAAAATTAAGTCTATAGAATAAACACCCAGCGAGAATTTCTGATTGCTAAATAAGCTATTTTTTTATCCTTGTTTGTTGAATATCTCCTTCAAGCGTCATCATATAGGGGCGAAAATTTCACCATAGCCTCTCCACTACACTTCCAACATATTCTAAAAACTTCATGTAATTTGCATGCATCTGTCTCAAGATTGATTTTTACGGGGTCTTTAAAAAGTCAGTTTTTATTGATTTATTCTAAGATTGATAATTTTAGAGGAAACATATACATGTGTAGCTGTTTTCAATGAGTACTTCTTTTTTTACATATGTAATACGATTTTCTAATTTTATGTAGTATTTAGAGCTACTGAACAGGCTTTTAATGTTTTGCATCCTTTTTGTCAATACATGGATAGAGTTCTATTATTCATATGGTGGATGTTTTCTGGCAACTGACTTTGGAAAATTTGATTGAAAACTGAATATTAAGGTTTTTTTAATTCAAAGAATGCAGAATTGATCCCACCTAGATTACAGATTACTGACTGCAGTTCAGATCAGAGAATTGAGATAGAGTTCGACTCAAAATAGAAATTAATTTACTCCTTTTTTTTAAATATGTACGTCTTCCTCTGAGAAGAAGATAAGTATATCACCGATAATTATGCAAATTCAGAAACAACTACCTTCATTGATCGTTAAAAAAAATATTTCTTCGTATAATTCCCCAATTCTAATGTGTACTATAGCTCCACTTTGAAGTTTCCGAATTCCTCTAAATCGATGAATTTAACACATCGATACATAAAAACTTAAGTGAAATTTTATGTGAGATGTACATACAGTTAACTTATGACAATGAAGGTATCGTCTTGTTTTTCAACACTCTGTTAGATCGTGTTCCCAAGAGAACAAGTTTTAATCTATTGATTGATTTCAGACTATGAAGTTTATATTGCTAAGTTGAAAGGAATTGTAATATTTATTTTGATAAATTTTATTTTAGTCGTCGCTACAGCTTTATTAATTTTATTAACGGTCTTTCAAGTCATACTTTTCTTTGTTGGTAAGAATATTTAAATTTTTATGTTATGAATGTAATAATAATTATATATATATATATACCGGGTGGCCCAAAAGTAAGGAAAAATAATGGGTATCTAATAATAACTGATGAAAAACTGTTAATGATATTTTTCATACTTTTGATTGATGTAGAGAGCTAAAACTTTCAGAAATAAAAGGTGTTAATTAGATATATATGTAATAAAGATTTCAGCTCTTTACATCAATAAAAAGTATAAAAAATATCATTAACAGTTTTTCATCAGTTATTATGGGATATCCATTGTTTTTCCTTACTTTTGGGCCACCCGATATATATATATATATATATACATACATATAGGTGTTAAATATTTAAATGATTGTCCAATTCAATCAAATTTACCAGTTTATTTACTTGTTGTTGGTTCAATGGGACTTGTGCGTGTATTAAATTTATTATGGAAACAATTTCGTCGAAGACGTATGCGAAAATTAGAAGGTGTAGAACTTGATCAAGAAGAAGAGACTGATGATAGTTTGTATTCATTCATATTATTCTGTAGAGAAAAAAAGTCCCTTTTTTTTATTTTGTTTTATAGACGGATCTGATTTTACAGATGCTGTTTTAAATCTTTTTCTTCTTGCTTGGTTTATTGTTGGACAATTTTGGACATGGAGTGTATTTATGCCAAATTTTGAATTTGGCTTAGAAAATCCAAATAATTATTGTCATAGGAATGTATATATATTTACACTTATTCATATTGGCTTTGTTTATGTCATGTTTCTTGCTACTATTTTTTTTCTTATTGCACTTACATGTTGTGCTAGATTTCCACATTTAATTATTAAAACACCACGTTAAAGACAAACAGATTATTGAGAGAATTTTTTTAATATTTCTGATCAGTATTTTTTATTTTATATGAATTCTCAAATTTAATTTTTCAATAATTTAAAAAATTAAACATTTGAAAGTCAGATATAATTCGACAGATGGAATTGATGGAAAGTGCTTATTTCAATTATTGTACTTGTTCTTGTTGCTTGCCTAATCAATTTAATTGTCTCATATTCATTCATTAAAAAAATAAAAATATAACTACAATTATAAACACAGTATACTTAAGTTACGGAAGACCATTCTCTTCTCTTCAACGGTAGTTTTCAAGAACAGATTATCAGAAACTTTCAGGATAGATAGTTCTCGATGATTAGAACGAAATTGTCATTGATATAAAGTGCACAAATGCTTCTTTCTAAGAAATATCGGGGTCACAAAGGCTAAAAAGTCGCCTCGATCTTTCAGCTGCAATACGTATAATAGAGTTCAACATTTTATTACAAATACTAGACATTATGTGGGACGTCTACTTATTATTTACTTCGATTCGAATAAAAATATCAAAATACTATTGAGGGAACTACTTGAACTGACACTCGCTATTTCAGTTTATATGGCATCTGCAAGGATGCGTTGATGAGACTAATAAAATTTTAAAATGGTTCATCTCCATGGACCTTTGAAACCGAGTTATGATTGTTTTATTGAATTTTCCATCCAGCTTCAAGTATCTATTTTAGATAAGTTGATTGACCTGTAGAATATCCTGAAAGTTTCAATCGAAAAGATTTAAATAAATGATGACGATAAAGAAAATAAAAATGTCGAAGACACATTTAATGATATACCAGATATTGTTGATGCACCGATAGTGGGTAAAAATAAGAAAATAAAAAAACCTAATTTTATTAATTTTTTTTTCTTTTTGGAATTTAATTAGGCCCGGTTTTAAAAACTGATACATTTGTATTTCAACGAATGCCTAATATAAATGAAAATGAAGAACTTGATTTTATCTATGAAATTCGTGTTCAATTTGATAGTCAAGGTAGTCAAAGTGTAACACGTATGGTTGAAATAAAAAATGTTGGAACAATAGTTTTTTATTATGAATGGCAACAAAAACCATATACAAAACTATTTGATATTGTTTATTCAAAAATTCAATGTTTCTATTTTGATAATCATATAAGTAACAAAATTAAGAAATCTTTTAGTGTTTTTTTTATTAACAAATAATATTAGCGTTGTAGAACCTATATTTCAACATTACGAGAACCCTTTTCGTTCTAACAGTAGACATGACAAATATTATTTGCTATTGCTCGATAGGTTTATTTTTTCATCAGTTAAAGTACATGATATTACTTATACTATATGTTAAGCTTAACTTTTTTAGTTTAAATCGATTATCAGATATTCACTGTGATTTTTCCACTGGATTCAATTGTTATTTAAAAATCAGATAATACATAATAATTTTTTACGTATAAATTTAGTTTTATACTGTACAGTGTTAGTAAAGAGTGTTAAGTTCGAAGCGTTTTTTTTTTCGATCTTAAATAAAGATTGAGGTACCTCTTTGGGTAGGAAGCCACATCAAGCTTTATGCTAGGAATGCTACTTTTGATGAGATTCATTTGAAATGTAGTCATTTATTTAATAAAACAATTAGAATATACAGTGACTCCTAGGATTATTCAATCTGGTTTATTTTTTATTTTTTTCCGTTGACGTAGGAGCTAACGGAGGAGCCGTTCCAGGCGATAAATTGTTTCTGAGTTCGGACTTTATGCATAAGGCAGACCCTAGTGAGGTATATGAAAAACTTCAAAAAGATAAATGCCCTTAGGGTTTTTCTTTTAGCGTTACAGTTATTTTATTACGACTTTACTCTATGGCATAGTTTGCAGCAACAAATCGAATGATGATAATTGAACTTAAAGATGTTCAAATTCCAAAATATACTGATATCATATGAAAAATGGAAGAATTTCATGTTTGTCGTAGCTTGAATATCTCTTGAAGAAAAAATCCTTCTGAGACGAAATTTTCAAAGTGCTCGAATTAGATGTAGGTCAGTTTGTGGGTAAAATCTCAGGTTTAAATGTCATCATTTGATTTATTGGCACAGACTATGCCATAGACTGAAGCTTCAATAAAATGGCTATACCTCTAGGAAGAGAGCTAAAGAACACTCATCTTTTTGAAATTTTCCATATCTCATTGGAACCTACCCAATGCATAGAGTTCGGGGTGCCTGTAATCTCAGAATCCAAACTCAAAAGCAATTTATCATTTGGAATGGCTTCCTTGTAAGAAGAATCTAAATAATTATTTGAGTAGAGAAATTTATGTCTAAGAAGAGTTCACGACGATGGATATGATTGCTAGTTTCTCAAGTATAGAGTCTCTGAAAAAAAAATACAAGACACGTTATTAAGCTCCTTAAATTCATAGATAAAATTCTCTCTAAATTACCATAGGATAAATAATTCACTACAAAATGTAACATATTCCAGTTTTCTACAATGTTTTTTAAACGAGATTCATCAACCTTACACAAGGCACCAAAGTCGCTTTTGCTGTTATCTCGTATAAAAACATCATTGTTGTGTCTTCCTCAAGTCTGATGCATCCCGTTAAAAAATTGAGTTAGAGAGCTTGAAGATGTTTTCATTTTGTAGAAAATTGTTTACTCTATCATTCTAGATGATTCAAAGAGGATCCAATTTGCAAATTCTAGGAAGTGAAAAACTTGAGGATAGGTGTAGGTGGGTGGATGCGGATGTGAGTGAGAGAAAAATATCACATCCACATCCACACTCTCTATCGATTAAAACTAATAAATTCTGTCATATACTGTTGAAGTCTTGATCAATATTTTATCCAATGTGATAGTCGAGCAGACGGCGCCTCTCTGAAGATCAAGTTAGCCCTCCTGGAATGTGTGATTATTGAAACTCGTATGACATGTCCGGACTCTCGAAAACAAGTGCTCGTCCTTTCGAAAGAGAAAATCTGGATAAGAAACTGATCCTGATCACTTATATCCTACTGGTGTAATGGAACTGCATACGATGGTATGCAATTCGATCGATTTTTTTTCTTCATTTCGTTACTCTGTCTCATCTCGATAGGTACTTACTTAAAATTACATATATTCAATATTCTTATGTCGAAAGATGTACTGCGTTTCGTATCTACCGATAATAGAATGAAATTATACAGTAATCTAAATTTTCAATATATATCATTTATCTTGCTTTTACTTGAGAACGAAACTAATTTCTAACATAATACTTAACCATCTGCACATTATTATCTTTGCTTTCATTAAAATTTCTTTAATTCATACACATATTCACCTTAATTGTTATCGTTCAAGGTTCAATCTTACCAAGGGATACTCTCAAACTTTCATTTGTATTTAAATCAAGTGAACCAGAAATATTCACTGAACATTGGCAATTATTAACACGTTCTGTTCTTTGTGGTGGTCGACCAATTATATTTACATTACATGATGTAACAACTGAAGAAGATGTTCATCGACAAACACGTATTAATATCGAAGTATATTTTTATTATTACGAAAAGGAAATTAACAAGAAAATGTTTCTTCATAAAAAAGCTAAAAGTATTGTTCGAAAAATTGTTTCTAATATACTCGATAATGTTTGAACACCTGAGCGAACTCGTTCACCTATTGATTTCTATATGACAGAACAAGAATAATTTCAACAAAACAATCCTGATGTAAAAATTTTCTACAAAAAAGAAAATCTTATTATTTTTGTGTTTTTATAGCTTTATTTTGATTATGAAATAGTTGAACAAATAAAAAAAATTACATAAACAAATTGTACCAGAATATGAAGAATAACAATGGGATTTATCAATTGACACATTACGTAATAAAATTTTATCATTCGATGAAGATAATCCAAATAAACAAATATTTCTTGAACAACTTAATCAAGCTATTCATCAATTGATACTTCAATTCATATTACCTTCAGAACAAACAATTTATTTATTTTGGTAAGTCGAATTGAAATTATTTGAAGAATAAAAGAAAACAAAAGAATATTATTGTTATGATATTATGAATCAATTTATCGATTCATTTGTTGATCAAATGAATATTATTTATCAAAAACTTCAAATTGACGAACCATCAAATGAATCTTACCCAGATATTGATTTAAGTATGTTATTTTACAAAAAATCAAGAGTTTTGAAAAGTTAATATATTTATTTAGATTGTTATCAATTTGAATCATGGAAATTTTTTTTGAATATACAAAACAACAAGAAAGTAAGATTATTAATAGTGATAATATTGAAATTTTTCGTTTTTTTGCTCTGTAGATGAAAAAAATATTATTAGTACGGCTAGTGATACAACTAAAGATAAGAAGGAACCACCACCTTCAAAATTAGAAAGAGGAAAAGTTAGTATTTTTTTAATATTTATTAGAAAATAACGATCAACAAACATACCTAATGTCATATAAATCATAAATTCTTTAGTCATGAGATTTATTAACTAGAAAATCAGCATATAAAAACCTAAGGAGATTTCTTATGATTACATTCGGAATCAGCATGGTCGATAGCCTACAATCCACCAGATTTCGATGAAAAGTGATTGATCAATTAAAAAACGTTTCCTCGTTAGAGAATCTTTCAAATCAATCTATTGAATACTAATATACTTATTTTATAGAACTATCATAAATGAGTGTCCCTCTCTCAGTTCCATCAGATTAACTCGTTATACTCTGTAACATCATTTTTGACCCATTCATAGTGAGTAGTATGAAAAATGTTATTTCTAGAATTATTTTATTTTCAATATAAACGCATGAATAACATGAAAAATTCTTATCGATAAAAAAAAGAAACTTGCAGTTACTGTTATAACCTTTTCATCTCGACGAGTCAGAATCAGAAACAATAATTCCATATTATAAAAAGAAAATGAAGACTAATAATTCTAACACAATTCTAGAAATGAAAGACCTGATTTTAATCTGAAAATAGCCTCCTTTGCAAGTGTCTAGTCCTCTATCATCCAGCGCAATGAATCATTGTCCACAAAATAATTCATAAGTAGGTTTGTAGCTTTATATAGATAAAATAACAGCATAGCTGAGAAAAAAACATTAAAAAAGTCAAATTAGCAATGAATTCAATTTTTATGTCATTCAAAATGAATGAGTCATTTATGGTCTATTCTGCATCTCCATAGTGAAATAACTTCGCTCAAATTTAACCATATCAATGTCATAATCAGTATCTGCATAAACTAAGTCTACCGTTGACTCAACAGCAGCTGTACTGGATTAGTGTCTGGAAGTAAAGAGTTAATAGATGATGCGAAAGTTTCCGGACAAATTGTTTGTTTGCTATTGACCCATTTGAAAGTATTCTAAGCATGTGAAAATCAAAATTTTGTACTCTTTTCGAAGATAAATTTAGACATCATGTGCCTATGTTTGTTTGAGAGCAGTGTGTGAATTTTTCAAAGTCCTGAAAGATTGTTTTGGATAACGATCAAACAGATTTTTATAATGGTGTTTAAAGTTATTAAGGCCACCCCCCTCCTCAAAAATCGATCTCAGCTCTGGAACATCGAGATAGCATGAAACTTTGGGGATATGTTGGGGGTGTAAAAGTACGTCTATGATAAAATTTTCAGCCTCCTATCCTGATGTATTAAGTAGATACGAACCAAACAAGGGTCGAAAAATGGCTTATCGTAGCCCCCAAAAATCTCTATGGGTGTTCATTCAATATGGTTCATTGTTTTTTCATTTGAAAGAGCATGTCAGGATGCAGTGCCTATGAGGGGCCTTTTTTTTAAATTCTTATCTTTAATAAGAAAAAAAGGGTTCACAAATTCTATCACTCAAAAATCTCTCAAAAAAATGATGCTTATATTATAAAATCGGTTTTCAATATAATAATAGGAAAGCTTTATCAAAAAAGGGCCCTCATAGGCACTGCAGTTTTTGATGCTCTTTCAAACAAAAAAAAAATATTTGACTTTATATCAGATTATAATTAACTTTTGGTGGGGCTACGTAATTCGACCACCATTTTGAGAAAAAACGAAAAAGATTTTTGGACTTTTCGAAAAACCAGCGGTTTTTCGAATAGGGATCGTCAAAAATATTGAAAATTTTCCGGAAAAAAGGAGGTATCGAAGAAAAGTTTTTATCGTTTATGAAAGAGCAAATGACAGGCTATCTTCCCGTGTATTTATCTCAATCTTGACCATTCTGACGAAAACTAACTTTTTTGAGGGGGGGGGGGGGGGTGGCCTTAAATTTGGTAATTTTGTAGAGTGAAAATTTGTTTACAAAATATGATTTCGACATAAACTATCGCTTTTACCCAAGTGAAGCTACAAGCATCTTGTCGGAAGCTACATTCCATGTAAAATACTCTTTTGTCGAAAAAAGTCTATTTTTAAAAAAGGAAGTGATAGAAAAACAAAAGCTTTGGTACTTTATCAGACGATAATATACGAACAAAATTGGCGACGTTTAGTTTCTGGTGCCAACAGTGAAAACACGAGAAAAAATCTTCCGTCCAAACTAAGTTTTCAGCCCTTTCAAAGAGTTTCTCACTACTCTCGAGCAAAAATAGTCAGAAAAGCTTCTGAACCTATATTCGCAAAGAGTACAAAATTCTGGTCCTAATCCATAGGGTTTCATTCAGCTAGAAACTTTCGCAACATCCATTATTTGTAAACATTCTTAGAGTGCGAGGCGAATATATGTGTCGCGATGATTTTTTATGCTAGAACAAGATCTATAGAGGTTAGTAGCGGAAGATTTCTTTTATCTAATGGCATATATATTATCAACTTCTATTAGATACCGTTTAGATTAGAGATGCAATGGTGACGGTGAAGCATCCACCGGTCCATCGTAGTACCAATGGCACTGGTTCATCGTTCAGCGGGTGGTATGATGCACCGATGGACGGTGGACCGCTGGTTCACCGTCACTGTTGCATCCATAGCTGAAGTGTCAATAGGTAGCGGCACCTTCGTCATTTTCGACTGTAGTCATGGCGAAGGTAGCGCCTTCTGTGGACGTTTAGATGATGCGCAAGAGAAAACTTGATAATACATACATCACTAGATCGAGAAAGTCTTTCTCTACTAACCTATATATATATATATTCCTTTTGTGGGTCAAAATCTTATAATCGCCTTTGGCATACAGTATACGTATAAAGACGATCTATTTCAATTCACTGCATTTATTTTTTACGGATCAAATTGATATAGAATATCAACTTTTGTACAAATTTCAAATCTACATGAATATTTCTAGAAGAATTGACCTTTGTTTCATTCTTAGTAAATCATCACGGTTTCTTATAGTAAAAGCTATGATAGAAGATGTTAATCTATTCATGACAGATAATCGATTTTTGTATTCATGATCTTTTCAGATACATGAACTTTGATTTCATGTCAGTTTATAATTTAATAGAACTATATCGATTGATCGGTACTGTAAGAAAGACGTACTCTTGGAAAAAGAAAAAGATTACTTCTACTGAATACAGTATTGATTATTATTAAAAAAAAAGAAATCTGCAAATTATTTACATTTTAGAAACTTAAAGATAAAAATTCTGCCAAACTGGTAACTACTTATCCTATTTCTTTCTTCCAATATCTAATGTAATTAATATTCAAACAAATTATCTCTGCCTCTATACTATTGATTATCTCTAGTATTTAAAAAATAATTATTCTAAACTAGTATTATTTGCTTTTTTTTAGCAGCATTTATTTTTTAAAAAATTCTATGTTTTCATTTTAGTCTTCAAAAAGATCTCTAGCTCCATCTCAAGTTCCATCAGCTATTGGTAAACATGAAGCAGTTAGTGATACTGTTTCTCAAATGAGTAAACAACCATCATTTATAAGTCCGGCTAAACCCGACAAAGTAGATGTTCAATTAACACCACAACAATTAGATGAACGTTTTAAAATAACTCAAGAAGCACATTTACCAATATATACATTATTATGTCATACATTTGATTGTTTAAAACAAGCATTATATGATTTATCAGAAAAATTTTCATCTAATAATGAAAATACTTTTTGTACATAATTAGCAACATCAATACAAATTCGATCATTGAATGTACTTGATATGCTTAAAGATAAATTAACACGTAATGTAACATCAATGGATATGAACAGGCTTTTTTAAATAAATAAATAGAAAAAATAAAATATTCACTATTGATTACAAATATGTGAATATAATGCGTAGAATTTCCAGATTTTTTAGTAATTGATAATCGTCACGTCATGATGCACATTTTCTTTCCATATTTCAACTTTTCGATATTGTTAATCTTCGAGAGAGGAATCAAATAAGAAAAAAATGTCTTCTGTATAATCTTCTCTCATGTAAACCATTTAGATAATTTAAGAAAGATTTGTTGGATTACGGTTACTACTGAATTCGAAAACATGAACAATTAGTGCCAAGATACCTCATTTTTTGAGCATCGTTTATATGAGATGAAACCAAGATCGAAAGTATTGATTATTGATTCACTGAGCATATTAGCAACATAGAAAGTCGTTTGTATCAATTTTATAAAGACTTTTTACAGAAAGATCGCTGTTACAGTCAAGATCAAACGGGATGAATCATTGTATTACTAGACCAAAATTACTATTTAGCACGAAGATTCTTTTGATAATTTTGGAATTCTCGAAAAAAATAAGTTACAAAGGTTAAAGTAAAAATATAGTATAAATAGTTTGTGTTCGTAACAAGATTGATACTTATGATGCTCTCTCTCTATAAATTGACTAATATACAGTGAGAAAATCTCTTTGATTCTCATTCATCAAAGACTCGATCATTGAATGAGTGTGAAAATAGAGGCGTGAAAAAGTTATACTAAAATTCTACCAATACAAACATTTCAACAAACAACCACTAAAAT